AAAGGCATGTCTATCTTTCTCACAGTCTAGAACTGAATTACCTGACCTCTCTGATCTCTGTCCCTTCTCCCATAAAAGGTCTATCACTAACATTGTATTCAGTGGGTCACCAATTCAATGAATATTTATTCTGCTGATCCCAGTACTCTTAAACTAAACTACTTCAGGTAAAAAAGAAAAAAATCAAAGATCTGTATGTTTTGGGGTTCCCTGAGAACCACAGTGATAACCTGTGAATGAAGATGTCTTCTTTTAAATATCCAATTAACAAAGCTCTACAAACAATAAATACTCATTATTATTCTTGCCTGTGGGTCTCTATTCCCCAAGCTTCCACGAACACCACTTAAGTTCTACTGAAGATGATCTTTTCTTGGTTGCTTGAAAAATAAAGGGATTCAATATGTTACTGGAAAGAATGACCTATAAAACTTAATAGAAGCAGAAGGTAGCAACAGAACATCCCGAGTGGGCCTGTGATTGCTTCCTCGTATAAGCATCTGAGAACATGCCATCTCCTCAACTTTACATCTAAGTAAACTCAGTATTCTCCCAACATACGTGGATTAGAGAATTTTCCTTTACTCAGTGAGTACCAACAGCTCATAGTACACACCAACACTGTGTTAGCACAATTCAGAGCCACATTATAATTAAATGTGAAAACCCTTTGTTCTATTACTTTTAATATTGTCCAAGTGCCCACCTTTGCCAAGCATACACTATGGAAGGGACTGGACAGGATGACTTAAACTTCTCATTAAAATGACTGATTAAAATATGAATTACTTTACTTTTTATTCCTACAGTGTTAACCCAGAATGTCTGAGTTTGCTTATGAACATGGTATAGCAGCTACACTGACATCTTTTAGAACACCATGTCTGCTATTTACCTTAAAAGAGTGACAGAATGCTAAGTTCCTCCAGCAAAGGGCATCTATGTGTATGCTCATCCCTGGTATCTAGGTTAACTCAAGTCTGTCAGAATTAGGGCAGCTCTCCCAATTCACAGAATTAACCCAGGAGACTATTTTAAATAGATAAGTTCTAGGACAAGTGTGTGACATAATTAGAAATAAAATGGCTTAAGATTAACTATAATTTTATTAACCATTGGAGTCAAAAACTAAGAGACTTATAACAATGTTTTGTTGTCATATAGTTCATGCAAATTCTTTACAATGTCAAGTTCTTTCATCTTAATAACTCTGATTAACTTCCCATCCAGTGCCTATAGACATATCTGAAAGATACAGAAAACTATTTCTGGAAACAGTACTAAAAGAACAAGCCATTAACAATCCATTTGGTTACTAAATTTTGTTTAATAACTTTTCTTGTTACTAAACCAAGATAAACAAAGTTTATCCTTCCCTATCCTATACAAATAAAAACACCAACTAAAGGCCAGAGATGGAAGAGAGAGAGCAGGTCTTTTATTTCAGTAACTAAACCTTCTGTCATCAATCAAAGGGCCCAGCGGTGGGTGCCTGTGGAGTAATACGTCCTCCAAAAGGTGATCACATTCACATTCTCAATTAATAGCGTTTTAATTTAACACAAGACAATCATTTGCACAGTATTATAATAAATAAATATTTCTGTATTAAGACACTCACTATGAGAGAAGCAATTCCGAAAACAGTGTCTGTGGCTCTCAAAAACTAACCTAATCAGCTGGGAAATATTTTCCGAACTGAGGTAATCTTTCTAGGAAAAAAAAAAAATTCACTGGAATTTCATTTCAAAGGTTAAGTTCTCTAAAAATTGGAGGAAATCATTTTCTAATTTTATTTGAGTATACAAACAAGACTCCTTAGGATTATGTCAACATAACTATTTGATGTATTTTATCTCTAAATTCCTAATACGAAAGTCATAAATATTAGGCTTCAAACTGATGATATTTGATCCAAACAACACACCAAGAAAACTTTTTAAAATTAATCAGTTACATAAAACAAGCAATTGCTAAACACAAGGGCTTCTGAATTACAAAGCATATGAACAGCCCTTTGATTACCAAAATCTCAAAGACCAAAAAGACACTAGGAATTAAAAAAAAAAAAAAAAAGAAATCTATTTGAAACATAATTCTATTTTAAATCATATTAAACAACTTGGACAAGATTCTGATACAAAAATCATAACTTGAGATGAAGCTGAAAGAATATCTGAATTCAGTCCAGTTTAAACCACAGTGCACCCCAAACCTATTTCCTTTTCTAAATTAAATAAAACGTATCTCAAAACCTTCAGGCATTTAAACAACCTGAATTCCCTTTATTTGTCCATGGAATATAAAAGGAATATTTAGATAGCATAAAACAAATCCATGCTGGATACGCTCGGTACCTCCTCTACCACAGATTCCATCAAATGGCTTAAGGCTCTTTCTAGAACTCTCCAACTTGGAAAGAATTGCTTCACTCAGAGTAAGACACACACTGCAAAGGAGGGAAAAAAATCAGAATTTCCACTTCTGATAGAAATTTCTATGAATTTCTGAAAAAAGTAAAGAAAGGACACCACTTTTCAGAACAAAGCATCAGTGTCTGAATCATTTTAAGGGCCCTAATTCTTGTAAGAAATCTCAGCTAAGGTCTCGTTACTCCAGTTTGATGGTACTAGGCCATATTTAAAAAGCAAGCATTTTGATTTTTTTTTAAAAATTCTCTTTTCCTAGAGAACAATTATGATAGATGTAAGGTAGTCTGTCGGCAAAGGCTAAGGAGATGTCAGAATCTGTCCAAGTGAAACGAGTATGAAGGTTTCGGAGTTACAGCTGGATAAGGGGAAAAGTTAAGTTTTAGGTTCCAAATTCACTGCCATAATAAACCTTCGACAAATTTACAAAAAGCCATGATTAACAAAATCTGGTCACTTTATAGAAGTAACTCTAACATGATCCCGGAGGGTTGAAGCCGTGGACGCCTCTACTTGAGCAGGCCCTGCAGCATGGCGGTGGCGTAGGTGGGCCGGGCCTGCCTGCTGTCGATGGCGCTCTGCAGGTACTGCAGGCCCCCGCAGCGCTCCCAGATCTCCTCGAACTGGCGGGGCAGGATCTCGGCGCCGCGCTTCCGAGTCAGGCCGGTCTCCTCCAGGTTCAGCTCACACATCTCCATGTCGTCCTTGCCTGCAACCACCGCATGGCAGAAAATTAACTTTGCTCTTTTCAGGACCATTTCCCATCAATTTTATTCCGCAAATACCTATCAATTCTCGTGAATTCGCGCACCTTCTAAGACCGCATTTTCTCCCAGTAAGATGGAAATCTGCTTAATCACCTCGCCACGAACAACTTAAAGTTGTCTCCCATCAAGGCAAGGACTCTTTGGAAATGTATAAACACTTCAGCTGATCAAACAAGGTGTTAGGGTTGGTAACGGCTGCATTTCCTCCAGCTATTACAGATCAGGGGATGTCAACAAGCCAGGGAAAGGTACTCGGGACACAGACAGCTTTCTGTGTGCTCCGCCGGACAGAGTTAATCCCAGCAATTTCATCTTGTAAGTCAGTTAATCCTCAATGAACTGAAAATGTGATTTAACTGCAAAAGTCCATACCTCAACCTTGAAATTGAATGAATTGTTGCATTAAATACAATCTTTCATCGCTTTATAAATGTTCTTCCACGGGACTCATACGCACCAGCCACAAGAAGGATGGGCGGCTTGTCGGGATGCAGCTCCATCTGCCGTGCGATCCAGGGCCCGTCGAAGTGCGCGTACCACCAGCCCTTCTTCTTACTCTGCGGGTCTTTGTACTGGTCAGCTGGGCGGATGAACGGGATGCGGAAGAAGCGCTGCTGCCGGTTCATCGCGATCTCCTGCTGCCTGGCAGGGAGCTGAGCCACTGGGTTCTGCTGAGCTATCGCACAAAACAAGGCAAGTCACACCAGCAGCTCGGGGGGAAAGGAAGATGCCTTTAATCTTAGCATGCACCAAAAAAATTTTATGTAAAGGGAGAAGAAAAGCTTCTAACAGTAAATTTAAAACAAGATATCAATATTGACTGCCTCTAAATGAATACAATTCAGAGTCCTAGTATTGTCATCCTCTAAAGACGTTCATTGGCACAGCACACACACCCACACCACCGCCGCCACCGCCACCACCACCACCAGCAACCACAAACCCCGGCAGATTCCCCAAAGGACTTTCTTAGTCACCTAAAATAAACTCATGAGGCAGGAAAGCAAACTAGTATTATTTACCAGTTTTACATTTTTCCTCCAAAGAGTTCAAATGAAGGGTGCACAATAACTTATGTTGAACTATTTCCAATGTAACAAAATAAACGGGATTTTAAAAAATCTAAGGAATAGACACTTGTCAATTTAACCTTAACTTCTACAAAAAGTAGAAGCCATGTAAAAACTTTGTTTTGCCAACCGATTTTAGATGTAAATGCCACAATAACACAGATACTAATAATATTTGGACAACCTCATGACCAAAAATCAAGCCTCCCCTCCCCCCCAAAACTGCCTACAACAGTAAGCATGAACTCTCCCTCCAAGTTATTTACTTACTCTGAAATCAGACTGCTCTTGGAATAAAATCCGATGAAGAAAGTGGAACGTCTGTAACATTTCACTCTCCTCACAACAGAAAAGAAAAACCCTTGCTTTTCTGCCAGTACCGGGCCCTGCACTGTTAGCCATCTGTCCTCCCTGGCTCAATTTTCATTACTGAACAATTAGGTTTTTATTTTATCTGCAAATGTAAATATTTCCCAGGGGCAATGACTTTACATATTTAGCAGCATAATTTTGGTTAGCCTGTTTAATATGCTTTAAACTCATAACTTTAAAAGTAGACCATTTTACTGCGACTCAATTAAGAATCTCACTAGGAAAATCTGTGCCTGAAGAAAAATATATGATATCTACGTCTGTGCAATAAAAGTCGGGAACAGCCACGTGACTTCGGTAATAATCTGCAAATACTGAAAGGATGAAAATATTCGTATCCTGTTTCACACTAAGAAACAGAAAAGGCTTTATAGAAGGCAAATTTGTTAGTTGTAAACCAAAGAAAGCAAACAGAGCATCTAGCAAAGCTACAAGATGCCTACAGGAGAGTTAGAGGCCCAGTTTCATCAGTGACTTTAGGAAGCTGCATCATCTTTGGCATGTGAACGGAGATGTGCTTACTTTTTCCTTTTGTTCCTGCTCTCCTCAAACTACTTATAGTTCTGAATTTCTACTTTAAGTTTTAAAAATTACCTATTTTGTGGAAAATACACTGACTTAAAACTAAAATATTTTAAAAGGGTTAAAAAGGAAAAAAAAAACCTTTCCTCCATCTTAAGTCGTGAATTGGAATTAATGTACTATTGATAGGAACTTTACTGTGATATTGGCAGTCATTCATTAACTAACTTACTTTATTCTTTTAAAAATATAGCCTTCATTACCTTAATACACTGGATAAAATTAAGAAGCAGAACAGAAAGTCTTTGACAGCTTTTCCTACTAACGGGAAAACTGGAATTTTGTTGGGGGAAGGCTACAAACTACCATCTATCTGGAAAGTACAAAGGCACAGATATTAAAAGCTCAACATTCGTCTTCTAACAAACTTTTTTTTCACATCTGATCACCTCATCTTTAAAAGTATAAACTAACTTTCCAATGTAGCTCTATAAATTATTAGTAGTACGTAAAAAAAAATCAGGTCCAACCAGTTGACAAATAAATATGACATGGTATCCAAATCATATTGCTCAATTGATTCTAGAAGAAATTTGCCGTACACTAAAGTGATGAAAAGCTTTTAAGTTATCAGAGAATGCACATCACAGGAAACTACAGAAATAACAGAATAATCTCCTCTTCCTGTTACAGGGGAGCATGATTAAACCTGTGCACATTATCAAACTCAAATCTCCTTAGACGGAAATGCACATACCATCCCAATGTTTGAAACCAGCACCTAGAAGTTAGTCTTTATTCTAAAAGAGCAGCTGCTATATTAAGATAGTTTTGCTACAATAAGATTTGCATATACTCCCAGTTTAAAACACTAGTTATTTTTTAAATGGAAATAATTTGATTAAAATATACTTCAGTTAGATTTTGTTTTGCCTATGTATTTTAGAATGATCCAAATAAAAGCATCAGCTCAAGTTAAAAGCCATCTTAGTGCAGACATGCAATTTTAATATAGCACAATTCTACTCAAAATTGTAGCAAAACAATTTTTGATAGGAGTTAGTGTTTTATAAGGTATTTTAACCCATCTTCCAGTTAGCTTATGAGTTACCACCATTGACTTACGTGAACTGTTCAAAAATGGTGCAAAATCTGTGGACAAATATTTTATATTGAAGAAAAGACAAAAATGCCAAAACTATTAAATGAGCATTTTTCTCATTTATAAAGCTTTCTTATCAATTGAGGTGGTGACTATCAAGTAAATATCCTATCTACAAGCCAAATACAGAATGAACTACAAGTAAGTGCTAGTGTCTGATTTTTTTAAGGAAAAAAAGGGCATTCTGATTATATCTTAGGAAATTCTGATTGAGGCATATATAAAAGAACCAAAATTTTAAAATATTACTTCGTTTATAATTTTGGAAGACAGTAATATCCAAACAAAAACCTCACAAGATGACTTCACAGATACTACAGCACCTTTTTCACATTACTAATACATTGCTGGAATTTTCCAGGAAAAAAATTAACCACAGAATAATAAATTAATCAGAAAATTGTATACATTAGAGAAAAGCACTGCTACTTTTTCATACACTCAGTATGTCTTACTTTCTTCAAACTGTCTAAATTTTAAACTTATGCCATTTTTTATTTTAGGAACCATAAAGTGAAACTATTTTCCAAAATCCTTGCTTTAAGCAATTAAACATTAATAAGTATTTGCTGGGTCATTTGCTACTGCCCCCAAAATTATTTCTGAGAACTCTCTTTCTGTTGCAAATGAGATGAGAGACAGGGTGCTCCCCAGGAAAAGGGTCTCAAGCTCACCATCAGAAAAATCTACCACACTTTGTCAGTGTTATTACTCTTGAAATCAACAATATCAAGTTACATTTTTGTTATTCATGAGTTGCCATCATTTTATTCTCTCAGATTAATGAATTCTAATCCTCCTAAACAACAGAGCATACGGCAGTTCCTTATAAAGAGTGGAAGTTTAGCTGCCCCGTTGGGAAACCCTCCGAGTGCAGAATTCTCTCCGCGAGCTATTAAGCGTCTCGGTGCCCTTCACCTTTCCTTTTAGCTACGTGTTCCTGTGTCAGAATTAATCTTACAGGAGAAAAAAAAAAAAGAAAAAAGAAAAAGGAAAGCAAGGTAAGTACTTTTCAGAGCAGAAGTTACACTTTATCCAGAAAACGGCTCATAATCCAGTTCCCCGAAATATATGTGGATTGTGTTCACATCAAATCCCTGTATTTGTTAATATTCACCTTAGGAAACTTTCCTAATCTGCTCTTTTGTTCTCTTGGATAGCCTACTGTGCATGGAAATAGCACTGAGCCAGCAAGGCGAGCCATGTGCACCCTTTTGGGCAAAGGTAGATGAGTAAGGTATCAAAGTTTGGTTTAAAAACACAAGAAACACCCAGAAGTGCATTAATGTACATAGTTACCATTCGATAAATAAATAAAAAAATAAACACAAGAAATATTTGTATATTTATGTAGATGTGTGTCAAATATTACAACATTAGTTTCTTTTTGTTTTGAGAAGTGCAATCACTCAGACATGTGAGTTTTAGAATACAACATAACGAAAGTCCATCAAGCTGAAGGTAGTGATTAGAACACTTACGGCTACGGCTAGAAAGAATAGTCCACTGCCATTTTTCAAACACAGGTAACTTGTGGTCAGAAGCTTAGTCAGGTAATGTGATCACACAGGTAATGCGATCACCCTGCTGTTTTTCAATTAAAGAGAAAAAGTTCTGAACCAGAGAAGAGCGTGGGACCCTACTGTTTAGAGTGGCTTCCCCTGCCATCTCTTAGCTACAAGCCATCCCTCACCGCCCTTCCTCAGTGTCATATTCTGACCGACAGCACCCCTGAGCCATCACTGGCACACCATCTCCCTTAGTAGTAGTAACAACACGGCCCTCGCTCCATCCACTCTGCCATGACTCAGAACCACTAAAATTCTACCATGGAACCGACTTTGCTTAAACATCGCTTTTATTTACTCAGAAGGTGGTGAAGGGGGCTAAATGTAACCAAAAACTCATTTTGGTTACATTTACATTTTGGTTTACATTTCTGGTAAGCAGAATTAAACTCAGAAACTGAAATGAAGTCCCAAGTAGAGCCTTAAAGATTAAAATTATAACACACGTGTCACAGGATGTACCTTCAGTTAATGTTAAAGCTCGTGTGTGTTTGTAACTACATCAATCCTACTCTGTTTTCTGATTTCAAAATATCAACTCAGCCATTTGTACAACAAAGTAACAATATCCATTTTTAGGATCCCAGTCAAAAAATAAAATAAAATCAGGGCAGAACTCTGGTCTGAACCAAGGTTAATATTTTTCACTCAGATTTTCACAGTATTGTAAAATAATGCTTGCAGTAAATATTCTCCTTTTTTTAAACAAAGGAATTAGAGTACTAATGGAGAACATCTGAACCAATTCCCTTCTTTTCCCAGGCAATAATCATATTCTGGGAGGAACAAGAAAGTACATAAACCTACAGGTTAAAAAAGATTTTTAAAAAATGAGCTATGTTAAATTAAAAAATAAGAATAAAAATTAAATATGATCCCTTATAGCAAGTATTAAAATACTCATTTTCATATGGAAAACCCATTTCACATGTAAAGTGAAAGATTCATGGGAATCTTTAAATTTTCACATGTAATCCTGATACACACAATCTCTTTACCATAGACAAGAAAATTCTCATCACCAGAATTCATTTTAAGAAGTCACTTTGTTAAGTCAATATGGCTTAACAAATATGACTTTAAAGATATATTTAATAGAAATGACGCTATAAAGATAGGCCACTGTGGCTGTAGGAGGGTCAAAGGATTACAGTTCTGCAGTAAGAGAAAATTTATATGGGACATTTTACTGAAATGCCTTATGGAGTTACACACATTTATATACATACACTTTGGAACGTTCAAAAATACAGATTTGTTTTTACCATAATCAGTAACAGACTTCGGAGCACGTTGCTCTGTTTCAGTATTTCTCTTCTTGTTCTTGGATTTCCAAGCATGATACACTTTTAGTCTCCTATGAAATTCTTCTCTGCAAGCTGCCAGGAGCTCAATATCTGTGGATTACATAGAAGGAGCCAAAAAAAAGAAAGGCAAGAAGAAGAAAAAGAATAATTAATATCCTCATTCATCCATCTAACATGATTACCTAACTATTCTGCAGTATAAACATATTTATATTTTTTAATTTTTAAATAGTACAAAATCAAAAGCAAGAGAATTATTCACAGGGATGAGCATTTTATGCTATCTTTCATATTCACAGAGCATTTTCTCATCACTGTTACGATCTATATCTACACAAGCACTCTGGACTAAAACAGGTTTTCTATACATGAAGAAACTGAATCAGAGAGGTTAAGTCACTTGTCCAAGAGCTCCAGTTGCGCAATCGGTAGTGCGTGGTCCTGATAAGTCACTTGCCCAAGGACACGTGCCTTGACAGTAAAATACAAAGTGACTGTGCGCAAACGCACACAGGTTTATAGGCAACACACTGTTACTGCTGATAATTACTCAGATAAACTCAGTACGGAGGAAAAGAACATAGTGAGATTCTGTACACCTATGATGCTTTTGTTCCCAGTCCTGGTGTCTAGAATTCAAACACTGTGATTTAAAGAAGAACATAACTATTTAGGATCCTTTGGATATAGTACTTTAGTTGAATTGTTCTGTTAGAAGAAAAATAGCTTTAAGTAGAAAACCCTCCATTGCTCTTTGTTACAGTGCAGGGATGGACTTAAAGATTCAGCTGTCTAGTTATGTAGGTATTACAGGTGGATCTAACGATTCAGCTATCCGGGTATTGTATTTAGGTATTACAGGTGGACCTAACGATTCAGCTATCCGGGTATGTAGGTATTACAGGTTGACCTAACGATTCAGCTATCTGGGTATGTAGGTATTACAGGTTGACCTAACGATTCAGCTATCCGGGTATGTAGGTATTACAGGTGGACCTAAAGATTCAGCTGTCCAGGTATGTAGCTATTACAGGTGGACCTAACGATTCAGCTGTCCAGGTATGTAGGTATTACAGGTGGACCTAAAGATTCAGCTATCCAGGTATGTAGGTATTACAGGTGGAACTAAAGATTCAGCTATCCGGGTATGTAGGTATTACAGGTGGAACTAAAGATTCAGCTGTCCAGGTATGTAGGTATTACAGGTGGACCTAAAGATTCAGCTATCCGGGTATGTAGGTATTACAGGTGGAACTAAAGATTCAGCTGTCCAGGTATGTAGCTATTACAGGTGGAGATTCAGCTGTCCAGGTATGTAGGTATTACAGGTGGACCTAACGATTCAGCTATCCAGGTATGTAGGTATTACGGGTGGACGTAACGATTCAGCTATCCAGGTATGTAGGTATTAC